ATTAGTTTAATTTTCATGTCCCTATCTTAGTTGTAGTGTAGTTGCCTTACTTTCCTAGATGAGAGGACAATCCATGCTTGTTGTTTGATATTCCATGCTTATAAATGCAAGTAGTATATTTCTTAGTTTGTTGGTGTGTTTTGATTGTGAGCTTAAAGGAAGGAGCAATGGCTTAATTTGATATATTGTGCTATTCATTAGTTTGTCTAGACTGTGTATGCTTAAATGGTCATCCATGCTTGTTGATTCAATCAATCACACACTAGTATTGTAACATCCAACCCCCCTCATTTATTGCACATTGAGTGTCTAGGAAGTTGATGTTTAGCGGTGACCTCTAAGTCCCAAAACCTCTCTCTCTTATTTCTCTATACTTTACTTACTTTAGTTGTTCTACATTGATTTCATTTAATTTAAAATTGTAGTTTAATTCACCAATCAAACCACCTTTTGATCACTCAACCTACTAATCCGACCTTGTTTCCAAGCAAAAGTACGCTTCCAATCCCTTGGGACGATCCCTACTCACCCTAGCTATATTTAGTAGTTAGAAGTAGTAGTGGCATTTTATAAATTCAAACTTGGCCACTCTTTAACACATTTTAACTTGTTAGTTCACGATGACACCAAGTTTGTCTTTGGGTCCTTATGTGGTTTAGTAAATCCAACTTCATGTACCCGACTGATTCTTTTCCACCAGCTTGCTTTCCCATCTACTTATATGAATTGCGAGGGCTTATTCCTGAATCAGAAGCCAATTCCAAATCAATGGCCTGAACGCGGCTAATTCTACGCTAAGACGGTAGCATGTGCATGCATTCATCAATCATCAATAGATAGTTGTGGCTTTCAACAATTTTTGTATTATGGGTATACTTGGAAACTTGTATAAGCATTCGAGCAAGGCAACCAGTTCGTGTTTCGGCCTTGGAAGTCTTTGTATTACTGTCCCGAACGTCATCAACCCTGAAACCCTCCTTGCAGCATGTTAACAATCTCGATGACAGCTTACCAGTCTTCTTGCTCTTATTAAAATACTATTTGCGGATGTTAAAACCAACTTGACCGGCATATGAATTATAGAAATCATATGCCTCTTCCTCAATTTCAAACTTCTTACCTATTCTTGGTTTCCATTCTACGACATTGGCCCCTGCAATAGGAGCGTTTTCTGTATATGTGGTGTCTTCGATGTTATTTAATACCTCTTCCATTCCAATAATTCAAATCAGAAACCTACAATATTAAAAAAAAAAAAAAAATTGAATAAATGGCTGTCTTGTAGGTATGGATTATTAATTGGAAAAATTTTCTGACCTATTAACATTATTCACGATAATATAATGTATCAGGGATCCAACTTCCTCCACTGCACATATTTTAATTTTGCTACAAATAACAAAATTAATAATTTATTTAAGTTTTCCTAACTCAAACATGCACTTCAAACCTTTTTGGGCCTTCTATTTTCATAAAATTTATACTATGTTCAATTATTCATTTAACTGTTTCTAAATCAAACATGGACTTGCAAACTTTTTTGGGCTTATTTTGAGAAACATTACAATCATGTTAAGTTATTTATAATGAACAATCATAACTCTCAATAGAAACTTACAAGAATACAACGGAAAATTTATTCTAACATCTTAAATTGGAAGTTTAAAACATAACATGACTTATAATACAGAATATCATAACTTTTACACAATTTAATAGCTTAATTTTCACAATTTCTCATTCAATTTTTCACATTTTAATAACAGTTAAAGAATGACCAAACAAAACTAATGAAACACAATGTTATACTATTCACAAATTCACTTACAAAATCAATACACTGTAGCTTCGTCTTCCTCAGCCTTCAATCAAACAGAGGACACTGTACCTTCGTCTTCCCCGGCGTTCGATCAAACCTTTTCAAAGATATTGTAAATTTAGAAAGAAGAAAATTAAGGAAAGCTGGGTCAAGAAAATTTTTGGGAAGAGGAATTTATTTCTTTCTATATTTTGGGAGACATAAGAAAGAAGATTAAGAACATGCGTTATACCTTCGTCACTGTAGCTTCGTCTTCTCCGACGTTCAATCAAACATTTGGAAAGAAATTGTAAATTTGGAAAGAAGAAAATAAAAAAAAAGATAGTTGAGACTTTTTTTGAATGAGGAATTTATTATTTTCTATATTTTGCAAGAAGAAGAAGAAAGAATGTTAGAAATTTAGAAGAGGCACTAAATCTGTTTTAGAATTTTTAATTTGGCGCTTAAATCCGAGTTTCAATAAGTATAATTTCATATATGTCTGTATATATAATTTCGCACCATTATTTCAGTGCCTAAACAGTAAGAACCGAGGGAAACAGGTTCACCTATTCCAACGGAAAGAATTTTGATCCAATTTAAAGGATTCAAACCCATTCTCGTATACAAGATACAATTCATCCAAACACCGAAGGAAGGCACGCTCTACGTAAACGGGCAAGTACAAAATATTTAGAGTACGCGTTTTAAAGTCAATATTTTAGTACATCAATGTAAACGCGGACTCGAAACTTTTCCCTTTCGGTAAAGCTACTTGTCAGCCCAACAAATCTACTTGTCCTAGAGGGAGAATCTACTTTGCACACGATTTTTCACATTGAGTCATGTGGCTCAAATCTTTCCTTCCAATATTAGAAGCCAACACTATCCACTTCAACACTCTGTACACTTAAAATAGAGCATGGAACTAACATTTTCCCTTAATATTTTATATTTTATTCAAATTTTTTACTTACGTGTTCAAGTGCTATTTAATTATTTTATAAATTGATATATATATATACAAAAATTAGGTATAATACTTAACAACCCAATTTCTTAACTTGTTGACAATTGTAAAAGATAGTGGAAAGAATGAAAAGAAAAGTTTTTAAAGGGATATGATATTAACGGTCTACTTTTTTGTATTTTGCAATCCCTTTGATTATTTTTACAGTAAATAAAATGACAAAATTACCTTTCAAAAATAAAGTTGAGGAGTAGATTTTGAGATAATTGTGTAGCCTGTTTTGAAGGTCTATTGTCTAATTTCTTTTTATTTTCTTTTTTTTTTTTGTCAAAAAAGTATATATAAAAAAAATTGAAATAAACAAGTCAAGGGCAACAGTATAAAAATGGGATTTGAATATTATTTCTTTTATAATAGAATAATTAGTGATATATGTTTTAGAATGAAAATAGATTTGATATGAAGTTAGTTATTTAGTGCTTGTTTGGCTGAGTTTCCTAAGGGCTTAAAACGGGTTTTCAAGCCTATGTAGTCCTTTTCAAAAAAATTATGTTTGATGACAACTTGAAAATTTGCTTTTGGAATTCATTTTTCAAGAAGCCAGATTTTAAGTTACAATTTTTAATTACAATTTTATCCTTATTTTAAAAGGGAAGAACACGAGATCGACGTGGAGGATTTGCAGAAATTTTTTTCCATTGATTTCCATTTGATCTCGAAGACTGAGGAGCGAAAGAGTTATAAAAATATGTGAACCCTCGTCCAAAAAAAGTTAAACTCTTGGTAAAAATCTGGACAACTTTTCTATCTCTCAATATATATATATAATATATTTTTTAAGATCTCTCTTTTGTTTTAGGCATCAAGTTAGGGTTTTATTATAACTTTAAATAAGAACGAAATGATATTGGGTCTAAATACTTCTGTTAAATTGCTACAATCCTCTCACCGTGTTATTTATTTATTCCTTCAATTTCTATAGATCTATATACATAATATATTGATCTTTACTTTGTCATTGATGGTGAAAGTATAAGCAATGAAATTATGCACAAAATTCACGTGTCAATTAATTATTGCTCCATCATCTCTAATTTTCACTCCATCACTATAAAATGCATTTTGTAATGCCCATTCGGTGGAAGGAATTTTAAAACTAGGAAGCCCCCCCAAACAAAGTATTAGTGTTCCACTCAAAATCTATTAATTCTATCTTGATTATCATAAATTATAATAGCTACTCCTAAAATTTAATTGAATGAATAAAATTGTCATTTTCACAATTTTTTATTTTTTTACTTTGGGTGCACAAATATCTATTGATTCAAATAAATTTAAACCATACAATTTTGTTTGATTATGTGGATTAACGATTCGAATCCTACCCCAAAAGAGCTCATAAGTCTATATTTGTTTTCATTTGATATATTGTTAATTTTTAAAATAAATTATATTGGCGACTTTTGAAATTTAGACAATTTATAAATGTGTCTCTCCTAAGATTTGATCCGTATGTTCAATGGTACTCCTAATATATATATATATATATATATATATATATATATATATATATTTGTGCAGTTATTGACCCGATATTATAAAAAGATAATTTCATCATTCATTCATATAAAATGTGATATATATAATATTATAATGTAAAAATATTACTGTCTTTTCACACGAGAAATCCAAATCCTAAACAATCTACTTATTTATCCAAACCTCAAAAAACTCATTATAATTTTCCGTAATTTTTATTGCCATAGATTTCCATAACACACACTAATCTTTACCTTCATTATTAAAAGCATAAATGTTTTAATTTTTGTTGTCATATTATTTATATTTTATTCCCATGCTACAAGTAAATCATAAATATATATATATTATTAAATGAAAATTTTATCTATATCATACTAATGCTAAGTTGAAAACGTCTTGTTTTAAACTATTACTATAAGCTGAAAAAGTCTTGTTTTAAACTATTACTACGTACTATATTCTACCCATTAAAAAACATTAAAATTGATTTAGTATGATTCAATCTTTAAATCTAATCAGTCCATTTGATGTCAATTTAAAAAAAACCATTTTTGATCAAATCCAATAGTGTAAAACATAAACCTAATCCCTAAAATCTTCACGTGCGTGTCACATTTACGTATGAGTGAAAGTGGTGGACACGTGTAAAGGACCCAAACCAATAACCATCTGAGACCTCACCACCGATTCCTCCAAAGCCTCTCTCCTTCATCTCCTCTCCTTCGCTCCTTCCTCTCTCTTTCCCAACTTTCAACTCAATTTCTCCCATTTACCCTTCCTTCACTTTCTCTCTCTACACTCCATCGTCATTCCCCCCTCTCTTTCTCTCTCTAAAAACTGAACCAAAGAAAACAGTTGCGACTTAAGATCAGAACTCGCATAGATTCATCACGAGTCTCACCGATCCGTGTCAATCTCTCTCTCGGGCATGGCGTCGACAATCTCCGAGAGAGTCGAGCTCGCGAAGCTGTGCACTTCTCGAGACTGGTCAAAGGCGATTCGAGTCCTCGATTCTCTTCTGTCCCAGTCATGGAGCATCCAAGACATCTGGTGTGTTCGCCAAATTCAATTCAATTAACTAATTTATTGATTCTTCATCGATCTTCGAAAAAGTTCATAGATTGATTGATCTGTAACTGTTTTTTGCTGTGAATTTCAGTAACCGAGCGTTTTGCTATAGTCAATTGGAGCTTCACAAGCATGTGGTCAAGGACTGCGATAGGGCTCTTCAGCTTGACCCAGCGCTTCTTCAAGCCTACATTCTCAAAGGTCTGTTAAGTGAAAATTTTAACTCTTGCTTGTTCAATTTGAATCAAAGACAATTAATTTAGGATTTTCAGCAAAATTGATGAACAGAAATGAAGCTAAAATCGAACATACGTGTGGAATTTCCAAATATGTGATGAACAATGAAAGGGGTAAACAATTGCTCAAGCAATTATAGGCTTCATTCAGAATAAAATTCTGTTGTGTACCCATCTTAGGATACACTAATTTGCAATCTACTAGAGCTGGCAGGAAAACTAATTTTTTATTTTTTAATCTACTCTTCTCAGTTCAACTAATTCTTCTTTGGAGTCAGTTATGTTTTTATCATTATTCTTTGTTCCACATGTGTCCTAAATATTTCAACCCATATTAATTATGGGTTTTTACCAGTAGCACTACCTTCAATGTGGATTGTGCCACTCTTCCTAATTGGTGCACTAAGGGGTCTTTACTGTACATGTTTAAAACCATCATAATTGGTTTCACTAATTTTATCTCTGATTTGCTCTACTTGTACCGCCTCAAGAATGTGTTTCTTTCTAAATCAACATTAGTATTTGGATTATGCTCATTTTATGATCACATTGTTTCTTAACTACCTAACACTTGGGTCCGTAGAAAGCATGACTGGTCTTATTATTTTCAACTTTATGGGTATAAGTTGGTTACAAAGCACACCAAAAGCACTCCACGTTGCTCATATCGTCTTAACTTCATTAGCAACATTCTCCCTCTAGTTTTGTATGATCAAACTTTGGTAGTAAAAATTGTTCCCTTTTTGGTTCTTTCTTGCTCTTCAATCTCACTATTTTCCCCTTGTATTTTGCTAGAAATTACACATCACACACTCAATTTAGTCCAACTTTTATTGATGTCTCTTGATTTCAGAGCTTCTCTCAGGACTTCTAATTTGGCATTTGCCTTATTCTAATCTTATCAGTTAAAAACAATACCACTGAAAAAAAAGCACACATTTGAACCTTATATTGGATCCGTCACACACTCAATTTTGTCCAACTTGTATTGGTTCCTCTCGATTTCAGAGCTTCTCTCAGGACTTCTAATTTGGCATTTACCTTATTCTAGTCTTATCAGTTAAAAACAATATCACTAAAAAAAAGCACACATTAGAACCTTATATTGGATCCGTCCATTTCATTCATTAACAAATATCTGAAAATGATAAAAATATAATGCTAATCTTTATGTAAACCATAGTGAGTGAGAATTTACTCGACTCTCATGTAGTTGTTCTTACTATACTAATCCATCATAAATATCTTTCATCATGTGAATATATTTATTTGCAACGCTGACCCTCCTCCCCCCAAACTACATAATATCTCGAGGAATCTTAGAATAGCCTTTCTCTGAGTCTTAAAACAGTGCATGGGGATCATTGTATTCTCTTTACACCTTTCTATTAATCTTCTGTTTGTATTGAAATTTTAAATCCTGTAGCCAAGCTAGTATTTTACCACTGTTTGTTTCATGTCTAATTCATTACTCGATAAACATCTCCCTAAGACTCATTTGTTTAATACAGTGCAGATTTTTATATCTACTTTTTATTTATTATTATTTTTTATATGAGTCCTGAAATACTCTTTTATCACACATCAGATATTTTCTTATAATGTTGCTTTCTTTTTGATAAGTAGGATAAAAATTCTATGAAAACGAAAATCCTAGAATGATAGGAATCTACAAATAAAGCTATCTCCTCATTAAGCTGGTAGAATAACGAAAGCACAATTCTTTTGAAAAAGAAAATTATATAATGATTGGAACTTCATCTAGTGATTCAAAAACTCCTTAGGATCCCTTGAATGGAACATCCTTTCCAACCGACCAGCATGTCATCACTAATTCCTCGCTTAGTCTATACTAATTCCAAACAAGATGAGTAGGACCACTCTTTCTTACACATACAACACCAATCACTAATGACTTAGATCGCTCTTTCTTGAATATCAATTGACAAGATGGCTTCTAACGTTGTTTTGTGTGCAAAGAAAGCTACCTTTAAGGGTGCCTTTGTTCCCATATTACTTTCAAAGGAAAGGACTGCTTGTTACCACTAGAGAGCCTATGGTACATTTTCAAAATAAATTCTTGTTCCAAGCACCATCCACCTAATGGAGTATTCTCCCTCCAAATAACTAACTAATGCAATCAGCTATGAAAGAAAACAAATAAATCTGAAGAAGGGAAAACAGAGAGCTAATTCAAGCTAGAAAATAGCTTAAACACCCATAACTCAATCCCAAAGAAAGGGAGAGGTAAAAGGCTGCTACAGAAGACTGAAAATATTGATAATACGTCAAAAAGCTGCTGAATACAACTTGGAACAACCTTTTATAAGACACAAGGGATGCCCTAGCAAGGAATTAATCCTAGCCCTTCGTATAAATATAATCTAATAGCTAGAATTCTATCCAGCAAAATAAAGACGCTAAAATGACAAAATAGTGCTTAAGTGGTCACATGACTCGCTTAAAAAGGCACATGACTTATAAAATAAAAACTAAAATGACAATAGTATCCTAAGCATGAAATAAAGACAGACTTAAGACTTATATAAATGACTCTAGACCAATAAACAATCACACAATCTGATCACATCATCAGCTGCCCTTATTAATGGAAACTCATCATAGTCTTCTTGGATCTTTAACTGTTTGAAGAAAGTCCTCTTCCATTTGCACTGCATCTGTCCTTCTAGGTGAGAGAAAACTCGTCCTCGAGTTAGAAACAAATTTCCACGACCAATAAAAAATCAGAGCATGGTGTTCCATCCCCTCTTTCTTCTTTTCCGAACTTGAATCAAATACAATGATCTTCTTGTACTAACAAAGATTACATGTATTTTGCTAGATTTCCTTTGAAATTGGGTAGATTTGCAAAACCCCAGTCAGTGGAACATGTATCCTGAACTAGAAGTTTAATCAAACTTCAATTTTTCTTCGACAAACCGCCTTGCAGTTGTAATGCGTTCGAAGAATTCACTCCAAATCATATCATAAAAGTGAAATCCATTTTTAGTGCTTGAATCTTCAAACACCAACCAATGATCAGATTTGTATTCTTGCAAAACTTCCGCTAGGGAAAGGTTGAACACTTCATTGTTCTCCATTGCTCTTGTTAGCGCCACGATATCATAGCTTCCTTCATTTTGAGATTCTTCTTTTGTAGCTTCCGTACCAGAGATCGCTAATTGATCCCAATCCATAGATTCAATGTGTGGTTCTTCATAAAAAATTGGAGGCTTACTCAAGTCAACAAATGGTTCTATGGTAGTCGATGTTATGAACAACCATGGCTCATCATCTGTTGAATCATTCTCGGAATCGTGATAGAAACTTTCTAACCGTGGCTTCTCATGATTGACGAAAGCGTTCTCATTGGACTCGTCATCCTTATCATAAATAGGTTCCTCTCCTTGTGGTTGTTCTTCTTCTCCACCAAGATATCCTACAAATTCTGGAATTTTCACCTTAAAGCCACCATCCCAACGCCTTTCTTCAAATGGAATAGATGCTGGTCTGGTTGCTGCGTTTCCGGAAAAGGATTAATAAAATCCTCTTCCAGATTGTTCTCCTCCTCAGATTCGACGCCATCTTGAGAAGGGGCTGGGGTTTGCGTAACGTGCAGGGCTAAAGCTTCAATCTGCCTTCTTAGATCTTTTATCACGTTAAGCACTTGTTGATGATCAACAGCTGCGTCCTGATGAGGCCAAACGGCTGGTTTGCGAAGTGGATTTCTTCTCCTTGGTGGCATTTTGCAAAACCTAAGAGATATATCTAATATCCCAACGCAAAACCACTGGACCAGAACTTGCTCTGATACCAACTAATGCAATCAGCAATGAAAGAAAGCAAATAAATCTGAAGTAGGGAAAACAGAGAGCTAATTCAAGCTAGAAAATAGCTTTAACACCCACAACTCAATCCCAAAGAAAGGGAGAGGTAAAAGGCTCCTACAGCAGACTGAAAATATTGAAAATACGTCAAAAAACTGCTGAATACAACTTGGAACAACTCTTTTATAAGACACAAGGGATGCCCTAGCAAGGAATTAATCCTAACAGCTAGAATTCTATCCAGCAAAATAAAGACACTAAAATGACAAAACAGTCCTTAAGTGGTCACATGACTCACTTTAAAAGGCACATGATTTATAAAATAAAAACGAAAATGACAATAGTATCCTAAACATGAAATAAAGACAGACTTAAGACTTATATAAATGACTCTAGACCAATAAACAATCACACAATCTGATCACAGCATCAGCTGCCCCTATTAATGGAAACTCAGCCTAGTCTTCTAGGATCTTTAACTGTTTGAAGAAAGTCCTCTTCCATATGCACTGCATCACTAACCTTCATAACAACTTGAAGAGGGAGACCATTGCCCCCTAACTCCCAGTGCTAAAAATCTCTACAAAATAAAGGATCTTTTTTTTTTTTTTTATAAGTAAATAATTTAAATAATTCATAAAAGGCGTTCAAAAGGGGAACGCATCCCAAATACAAAATAAAGGATCTCATACCACTTCTCCCTCCATAAGGAACATGAACTCAACGACTCTCCCTCGGAAATCACTTTCCTAAAAAGACAAGATGCTCTCGCCAAATATCATGTCAAAATCTAATCATTTATGCATTTGCCTCAAGTAATGTAGTTTGAGTATACCCTCACCATTTATTAATGCTCTTCCAAACGAGAAAAACTTGACCAGTGTTATCAAAGGCCCAAGGCGCAATAAGGTGCTAGAGGTCCTTTGGAGCCTAGGCGTAAGACGAGGCGCACATTTGAGTGAAGTGAGGCGCACAATGGAAAAATTAAATTACTATTAAAGAATTTAAATTCCATATTAAAGGCGCTAATCCATGATAAAGATGCTATTAAGTAAGGAGTTGAGACGTTTTTATGTCAACTGCAAAACTGTTGGTTATGGCATTAAAGCTAGTCTCTTTAGCTGACATGAGAGAAGGG